TCTCTCTCTCTCTCTCTCTCACACACACACACACACACACACACACACACACACACACACACACACCAATGGATTTTCCAGTCCCGTCTCCTCCCCTGCCAGTTTTGAGCGATCCTATCTTGCAACCATATTGTTTCGTGCCACCCGATCATGCCACATGATCCTGTTTTGGGCCACACTACTACTATCACCAGTATCATCATCGAATATCACCACTGACTATCTCACCCCCTGAATTGTGGATAACAGCCTGTCTATTCCTCAGATCTACGTGATTTATTTGACCCATACATGCTTCATCGCCAGATTCATCCATTTCACTGGTACAGCTCTTACGACTGACTGTGTTGCTCAGTTCGTAAGACACGAAGTGGCATACAGGAGGTCTTGGGTTCAATCCCTGTTGGCCTCATGTACCTTTCTGGTTAAAGCTTGGCGCCCGGCACCTAGAGATAGGCCGATGGTCCCCCCGAGCGGCATTTGAGCAGGGACTGCTGACGTTCGTACGGGGAGGGGACCGGAGGGGAGGCACAGCGACTGGCCCATCGAAGCAGCTTGGTCCTGATGCTACCTGCTGATGGCTGACCCGTGGCCGGGAGCACCCACCCGCTGTAGGAGGTATTGCACCTGCCGGTGGGTGCAGCTCTCACATGTTCCCTCATTGGAGGCTTGAACAAGGCATGAGCCGGGTTTCTTTTTTTTTTTTTTCCCCTTAAGAAATTTAACTCGTATTCATGCCACACAAAAGAGAGGCCGGGAACTCCTCAACAAAACCAACCCGGAAAGTTCGCTGGGACCATGACCCAGATTAGGTGCAGGCGTGTTGGGAAAATGGACTAGATGCAGATTTGGTCAACACAAGACCGCTACACTGGCCTGCAAAATCGATCAAACCGAAAAGAATCTATCTATTAGAGTCATGGATCAATTTGGCCACTACATTAGCCACTGTCCTGACTCCTAATAAACAATACCCCCTGGGCCTAAAACTCCAAACAAGCCAAAGCCAAGCTTCAGTCCATCCAAATGCCTGCAGCACCTGCAATCAGACTCGTTCTCAAACACACTTTTCATGCATGTAAACAGCAACGCAGTATACTGGCGACATGTGCCCACTCAAAACTCAGAGATATGGCTTTCAGATACGAGTTCACTCTCAATTGGCTATGGCGACTTCAGCGCCCAAACATCTCACTGTTCACATACACTGGATCACCCTGGATATCCCACACGTATCACCCTAACACTCGAGCACACACACACGCTCACTACTAACTACAGCTATGGCAGCTATGGCTGCCTCTAACCTATCGCTATGCTAACTCCTCCTCTCTTGCCCACTGCGTCCTCCGGGCTCATCTGCAGACCTCCTTGCACAAGTCGCTGTGGCAGCGCTTCC